ATGTAAGCAGGGACACTCCATAGAAACCCGGGAGGGCGCCACCTGTGCATTGGCGGCGCGTGTGCATTGGCGCTTCAGTCCCACGAGGGGGCGCCCACGTCGTGTCGAGAGCAAGTCCCATGCTGCCTCGCGAGCTCCGCCCGCCCTGCGCAGGCGCAGCCGCCCTCGGGCGTCCTTTGCTGCGGGCGGACCAGGCCGCGCTGCGGGGCGAAGGCAGGGACACGGTGCCCGAGGTTGAGCCGCCGGGAGCCGCCGCCATGCCGGACAGCTGGGACAAGGACGTGTACCCCGAGCCCCCGCGCCGCACGCCGGCGCCGTCGCCGCAAACCTCGCTGCCCAACCCCGTCACCTATCTGACAAAGGCCTTCGACCTCCTCGTGGACCGGCCTGTGACCCTCGTGAGAGGTACGGGCTCCACCCGGTCCCCGCTGCTCCCCGAGTTCCCCGGCACTGCGGACCCCGTGGCCTAACCTGGACACCCGCCGCCATCCGGGGCGCCCACCCGTAGATCTTCGGGCCTCATCGCCTACTTAGACCCCCAACCACACCCCCAGGCCTTGCCTCGGGGACGCCCCCTTCCAAGACCCCTCGGTTCTCTCGGGCTCCCACCGCGTGGGGGACTCGCCACGCAATCCGGTCTCCCGCTTCGCCCAATTAGGGGTGGTTTGCCTATCGCAGTCATCCGTGTCCTGGGGCTTGTGAGACCCGTCTCCCTGCACGCTCCCCATCCTGCGTTGTGTACAGTCGGGGTCAGCAAACGGGTTTTGAAGGGAAGGGGTTCTTTGCTGACCCTCGGCACGCCTGCAGAGTCATCGGGTGGTCGGGTGATGGCCGAGTTCCTCGCAGCCTAGACGTGCTATGTATGACTTGTCCTCCGTGTGTGCCCAGATTGCTCCATGTCAAGTTTAAAACAGTGGCTGCCCAATTTGTGGTTCAGCCATGTGGGGGGCGGGGTGGCAGCAAGAATACGTTCTGCCCTCAGTCACTAGTGCCTGGCAATTCATCCATATTAGTTTAACCAATTCCATTCATTAAACAAAACATTTGGTGTGCATGGCGTGCTCTTTTGTTAGGGAGGATCAAGTCAGCATACCAGATGCCCAAGGTCTGGAAAAGGCAGGGGACCCACTCCCTGTGTGTTGCTATTTCTTCCCTGGTCCCACTTGTTGACCTCCTATGGGGGAGTTTAGGCCAGGTGAGTGGGGGCAGAACTGGGACTAGAATCCCTGCTGGTGGCTCTGTGAGAGTCTGTCTACACACTGCAGTGGATTCTGTGTTGGCTGGCAGGCCGGGTGCAGGTTGCCTTCACTGTGCTCAGTCCCGTCTGTAAATAAGGACCTGCCCCATAGAGTTGTTGGGGGGGGTGGAGCGGGGAGACAGGGACAGTAACAGGGAGCTCCATAAAACCTAGTTGCCCTTCCCAGCCTACACTGGAGTCAGTTCACTTGCCAGTCTTTGTGAAAGTTGAGGACATGGGAAATCTGCCCCTCCTGTGGCGTATTAGCAATGAAGCAGAGTCCATCTAAACCGTGCCCTGACCAAACCAACGGGACCTGAGCCTGGGGGCTTCTCTTTGCAGAGTTCATAGAGCAGCAGCATGCAAAAAACAAGTATTACTACTACCACCGGGAGTTCCGCCGGGTGCCGGATATCACCGACTGCAAGGAAAAGGATGTCTTGTGCATGTTTGAAGCAGAAATGCAATGGAGAAGAGACTAGTACGTCTGCCCTTGACGGGAACAGAGCCCTGCACAGCGGCCATATCATGCCCAAGATCTTGGGGGTGGAGGGGCCAGATAGGGTCCAACCCATGCTTTCATTCCCTTGGGGTGCAGAGAAACGACTCTTTGTAGACCACCTTTCTTGTTCCCTTTTCTTTCAGCAAAGTTGATCAAGAAATTGTCAACATTATCCAGGAAAGGCTGAAGGCCTGTCAGCAGAGGGAAGGCGAGAGCTACAGGCAGAATTGTGCTAAGGAGGTGGAGCAGTTCGAACAGGTGGCCAAGGCCTACCAGGACCGTTGTGAGTGAGCCTCATCTCAGCCTGACCCTCCTGCTTGCTAGCCAACCCTCTATTCCTAACAGCTGTGGGCACTGAAATAACCAGTTCTCAGATCAATGTACTTTCCCAAAGCCTCTGCAGGGTATAAGAGGGAATTACCACTGTGCCCCAGGTCCCCTTTCTACCAGTAATTGTCTTGGATGCTTGACTTTACCTGCCACATTATGGCAGAAGTGGCCCAATGACTCTCCCATCTCTTCCCAGATCACGAATTGGGAGCCCATTATTCAGCCAGGAAGTGCCTGGCAAAACAGAAGCAGAGGATGATCGAAGAGAGAAAAGCTGCCAGAGAGGCTGCTGCTGCTGCTCATTGAGTCCCTCCCACATGAATGACCGTCTCTTGCTGAATAAAAACAGTGACAAAACCCGTTTCTGGTGTCACCTTCAGCCCTCAACCTTGACTCATTGATGAGCCTAAATAAAAGGCAACTATTAGCAGGCTTAATTCACTTTATTTTTCTTGTATAAAATTATGTGGTGGCCACAGCGGGAGCCTGGGTCCTCTGCACAGAAACTCTGGTGTGGGTCTTGACAAGATGGTCAGTGAATTCCTAGAAAGACAAGACAAGGCATTCGCTGTCGAGCCAGGCACACACTGCATTTGCATTGGTTAACAAGGTAGTGGGGGAAGGCAGTACCTGATAGGGAGACTTGGTGAACACGGTCTCTTTCCAGAGATCTGGGGTGAGATAGCTGTAGGTCTTAGAGATGGCATCAAAGGTGGCCTTGGCTAGAAAAGGGAAAAGGGTTGGTGGATTTACCCAAAACACAATACTTCAGATATAGGCTGGAGCTGTCCCGCTCCTAGAAGACGTTACTTTGCATTTAGGGCAGGGGTTCTCAAACTTTTTAAGCAGGGGGCCAGTTCACTGTCCCTCAGACTGTTGAAGGGCCGGACTATAGTTTAAAAAAGAACTATGAACAAATTCCTATGCACACTGCACATATCTTATTTTGAAGTAAAAAAACAAAACAGAAACAAATACAATATTTGTATTTGCATGTGGCCCACGGGTGTAGTTTGAGGACCCCTGATTTAGGGCTTTCCTCTCTCTGAAAACAGGCCACCAACCACCCATACTGTGATTAAGCAGTGCTCAGAGGTCATAGCCCTTGTGTAGGCCACCTACCGAAGTTGCCCAGGGTGGCAGTGCAGCCCCTGGCCGACGTGTAGCAGTCGTCAATACCAGCCATCATCAGCAACTTCTTGGGCACAGGGGCCGAGACAATGCCCGTACCCCTGGGGGCAGGGATGAGGCGCACCAGTACAGAGCCACAGCGGCCAGTCACCTGAAAGGGTTGGAGTCAGAAGGCTGGGGCTGGAGAGGCTGTGCCACTGAAGACCCCATCAGTCACCCGTCACCCAGCCTACCTTGCAAGGTACAGTGTGGGGCTTGCCGATCTTGTTTCCCCAGTAGCCTCGCCGCACGGGCACAATAGAGAGCTTGGCCAGGATGATGGCTCCCCGGATGGCAGTGGCTACTTCCTTTGAGCACTTCACACCCAGACCGACATGTCCATTGTAGTCCCCAATGGCAACAAATGCCTGCGAAGAGACTGAAGTGGCTGGCGGTCCACTGACCAGCACAGCCTCAGTAACCACCACCCGAGCGAGGCCTGTTGCACCCCTCAAGCAAAGGCTGGCCACTGCGAGGCCAACCTGAGGTCCTGAGGAGAGCCTTTCTCTCTCTCCCCATTACGAAAGCCACACGTGTGAAAGCAAGTGTGACAGTGCAGAGCTGGGAGAGCCTCCCAAAGCCCGTGGCAGCGGCAGCCCAGGAAAGCACAAGGTGGCTGGGGTACCTTGAACCGGGTCCTCTGGCCAGCACGTGTCTGCTTCTGCACAGGCATGATCTTCAAGACTTCGTCCTTGAGGGATGTCCCCAAGAAAAAGTCAATGATCTCCGATTCCTGCGAGAAATGAGATTTGTGAAAAACACGATTAAAATAAACACCATCTCTGGACATCAGTCATTGGGAGACTTAACGTGGCTTCCTTGTTGATAACCCAACGTCAGAGACCGACTACCCATACACTCACAGAACCTATCAAACAAATCCCGGAGCCCCCCAATAAATCTCATCCCTCATCCCGAGACCAAATGAGACTCCCCAAGGCTGCACCTGCCTAACATCCGGGAGGGAAAAAAGGACCCGCGCGTTACCTTGATGGGCAAGGAGAACAGGTAGATTTCCTCCAGGGACTTGATTTTCATGTCCTTGACCAGGCGGCCCAGCTTGGTGACAGGGATCCACTGGAGGGAAAAGGCGCCGATGAGGACAGAATGCCCGGGGCCGCCCACGGGGCCGTCTGGCGCGCACAGCCCGGACCTACCTCCTTGTCCTCGGCCTTGCCTCCACGAGCTCCGCGGCCTCGGCCCCGGCCCCGACCCCGGCCGCGACCCCGGCCCCGGATGCCGCTGCCAAATCCTCCACGGAAGCCGCCGCGACCTCCCAATCCGGGGCCCCCGGGGCCTCCGGGCCCTCCCGCAGCACCGGCGTCATCCGCCATTTGCTAAATTGAGCGACAAAAAAAACAGTCAACAAGGCCCTAGCACTCGCGGTCCCCTGGACTGGGGCTCCCTCCCGCCCAAGATGCGGCCACACCATCCCCGGTCCAGACCGACGTCCGCGGACCGCCGCCGCTGAGGCCCCGACCCAAACCAATGAGAACGAGCACTCACGTGTTTCGTCGGAAAAGAAGAACAAAGATTGCTGGGAGGGAGAATTTATATGGCTCCAAGTGCCGCGAGAACTAGACCGCAAGGTCCCTATCGCGAGTGTTCCCAGGGCCTCCAAGGCAGCTTGTGATTGGCTTCACGGGGCCCCGTCAGCTCTGCGTGCGCCTGCGCGTCTCCGGGCTCGCGGAGTCGCTATAAATGCCGCTCCGCCGCGCGCTCGCCTCCTCCGGCTGCAGGTACGTCGGGTTGTGCATGTGGCTCCGGGCTCGCGGAGTCGCTATAAATGCCGCTCCGCCGCGCGCGCGCCTCCTCCGGCTGCAGGTACGTCGGGTTGTGCATGTCGGTGGGCGGTGGTCGGGAGGTCGGCGTTGGTTGAAAATCACCTGCGGCCTTGGCCGTGACCGTGGGTGAGATTCGGCGCCCAGAGCCACCGGGGGCCTCAGCTCACTGTCCACACGATGTGGGAAGTGAAACCCAGGCCCCGACACGCGCCGCGGCCCGGGTGTTACCGATCGCGTGCTCTCATGTCAGGTCCTCACCCCGTTTTCTGCCCGCAGGGCTCCCGGATGCCCCAGCTGAGGCCGACGCCGCCAGGATCGTGGCAGTAGGGAGACTTCGCTGTCCTCTTTCTTATTTATCTCCTTCAATTATGTTGTCTCTGTCTTAATTTTTTAAATAAAGCTGTTGGTCTAACTCATGCGCATGTGGGTGTTTTTTGGTCCCCTGCCTGTCATCCTGGAAAATGCATCTGTGGACCCTGAGATCAGTGTGTGCCGTGAAGGAGAGACCCGCGTCGGCCACCTTTTCCTCCTAGACAGCCCTGTTCTCCTTCGGATGCCACACGGGGGTGGAACTTCGCGTCTCCAAGGTTGGGGGGTGACTCCTAAGGGCCCACAGAGAGAGATAAAGTACCTTGAGCTTGATGGGAGTCCCGCTGGGCCTGGTAGCCATTAGTAAGGACAGGAGTGTAAGATTCACAGTTCAAACAGCGGCCCCCTGATCACTTCCCGCAGGACAGGGTTAGGGTCTTTAGGGTGTGATGAGTGAACCACTCGGTGGTATGGAAATACACTTTTCTGTTCTGTGCTTGACATGTTGGAACATACTGTTCTCTCAGGTTGGAATTGATTTCCCTATGCCTTTCTCATAGGCCTGCCCAGATGGTCCGAGCCTACCTACTCTGGGAGGTTTTCCCACAGGCTAGCTCTTCCTGTACTGTATGTAGGTGGCGTGGCAATCTGGTCCTCATTTCCCTGGTCTGTATCCTGGAGCACCTTGGGTCTTAGATCCTAAAGCCCCTGAGCTCTTGGAGAACTAGCCACCAGGGCAGCACTATTTTAGGAGGGAGAGGGGAGCCATCCCTTCATTCCTGCTGAAGCCTCGGTCTTGGGGATACTGTCGCTAGGAGTTTGATTCCTGGCCTAGTGTAGCTTGGGGATCAGCTGTCAGTCACCATCAAGACGGGCTAGCCCATAGACAGGTTTGGCTCAGCAGATAGAGCGTCGGCCTGCGACTCAAGGGTCCCAGGTTCGATTCCGGTCAAGGGCATGTACCTGGGTTGCGGGCACATCCCCAGTGGGGAGTGTGCAGGAGGCAGCTGATCGGTGTTTCTCTCTCATTGATGTTTCTAACTCTCTATCCCTCTCCCTTTCTCTCTGTAAAAAATTAATTAAAAAAAAAAAAAAAGACAGGGGCTATAGGGACCTACCCCAGGTCCGTGCCCTTTTAGAGAGGGGAGTTAAGAGCCAGGTGGTGCAGAGTCCCAGTGGGCCCTGGGCCAGGACTGTGATTGGCCTGCTTTGGGACAATGCCACTGTGATGTCGGCCCACTCCCCTGTGAAATGGAGGCTCCTCAGCCCCAGGGGTCAGAAGCTGCTGTCTAGACACATATCATGGTGAGTCTAAGACCCTCTTGCCTCTGGCCCTTATATTTGTGCCTAAATCCAGAGATTTGCCCAGAGCTGAACTCCAATTCTGAGAAAGGGTGGACAATGGCTTACAAGCTCCCAAATGGAATGAGGAAAGCTTTCAGAGGACTCTGGCCAAGAGTAAATCCAGGCCAAGGCCAGCTCCTAAAGCTGGGGATTAGGATTCAAAGGTCTTGACCCTCACAGCTGCCCCCTCAGAGTGCTGACCCACCCCTCCACTCGAGGCTCTCACGTGGCCCACCTCCCTACCCAAAGCTTGCTGGGGTCTCCCTCTTGGCATATGGAATGGGGTGACCAGATCCTGGTCCCTGCCAGCCTCTGATGCTGGCCTGGCCTTTTCAGAGTGGCGGGTATGATCTCAACCTCTTCACCAGCCCTCCCGACAGCAACTTTCTGTGCTCTGTCTGCCATGGAGTTCTCAAGAAGCCAGTGAGGTTGCCATGCAGCCACATCTTCTGCAAGAAGTGCATTCTCCGGTGGCTAGCCAGGTGCTACTGGGTTCCCAAGAGGCTGGGAGGCAAGGGTGGGGATAAGGACCATTTCTGTAAACCAGGACAGAAAGGAAGGTCTGCAAAGCCATGGCCATAAGATTCAGCTGCTAAATCTGAGACTGAAATTTGTGGGTCCCCTCACCATGTGTTATCTGCCTGCAGCCCCTGGCCAGGCCTCAGAGCTGAGAGGTCCCTATAAAGCCCTCTCATGCCTCTTTCAGCTAAAGAGAAGGGACCTACATGTTGCTGCCACTTGCTCCCTTCCCAATCCCAACACTCACCCGACCCCTGCCTCCTAGGCAAAAGACCTGTCCGTGCTGCAGGAAAGAGGTGAAACGGAAAAAGATGGTCCGTGTGAATAAACTCCGAAAGACCATTGGCCACCTGGAAGTTAAGGTAGTTCAAAGCACCCACTGCCACCAACCTCCTTGTGTCCCTTGGGGGATGGGGCAGAGCAAGGAGAGGGAGCTAGGAGAATCTCACCCTCAGAGAACTGAGGGTTTATACTCCAGCAACAGACTGCAGACTTGGGGTCATCAGCCCTGTCTGAGTTCCATTTACTTGCATTGTGACTTTGAGCAAGTTACATAACTACTCAGCTCCTGGGGCCTCAAATGAAAGTGGGGTTTTTTTTTGTTGTTAATCTTCACCAGAGGATATTTTTTCCATTGATTTTTTTTAGAGGGAGGAAGGGAGGGGAGAGGGGAGTGAGAGAGAAAGACACACACAATTGGTTGCCTCTCGCATGCACCCTGACTAGGGCCAGGGATCAAACCTACAACCCAGGTATGTGCCCTTGGCTGGAAATTGAACCCAGGACCCTTTGGTGTGCTGACTAATGCTCTAACCACTGAGGGGCACCAGCCAGGGCTCAAATGTAAAATGGAGATCAGAACATTTTTAGAGGATAATGTATCTGCTGTCAGCCATTAACTCCAACCTCCTAATTTTGTAGATGGAAAAACAGGTTAAAAACAGCCCAGCCAGCGTGGCTCAGTGGTTGAGCCTTGACCTACGAACCAGGAGGTCACAGTTCGATTCCCCGTCAGGGCACATACCTGGGTTGCAGGCTCGATCCCCATGTGGGGTGTGCAGGAGGCAGCCGATCAATGACTCTCATCACTGATGTTTCTCTCTCCCTCCCTCTCTGAAATCAATAAAAATATATTAAAAAGAAAATAAAAACCTGCCACACATGCATACATGCAATCGTCTAGTGCAACTCAGCCATGCACCTCTGTTTTCCAAGTGTTAGGCCTCAACCCGCCCCCCTCCTCTCAGAGATCTAGGTTCTTCCCACCTCTAAGCATTTGTCCACCTGTTCCCCTTTTCACATCATTGGTGCTGTTAGAGCTTGGGAGGTTCCCAGTTAGTTCCCTGGTTCCTAGTCAGTGGAATGTATGTCATGGGTGGGTAATTATTTGGGGGTGGGCAGCTTAAAGGCTGGCAATGCCTGACCTGGTTTGGCTCACCTTGTTCTCCCCCACCCCTAGTGCAAGAACGCCGAAGCTGGCTGTTCGGTGACGTGCCCCCTGGCCCATCGCAAGGGGCACCAGAACTCGTGCCCTTTCGAGCTAATGGCCTGCCCCAACGAGGGTTGCATGGTGCAAATACCGCGTGGGACCTTGGTGGCACACCTGCAGCGCTGCCAGCATGGGACCCAGCAGCGCTGCGCCCTGGGCTGTGGTGCAAACCTGGGCCCAACAGAGCATGGACCCCACAACTGCCACTGTGAGCTGCGCGAAGCCTGGGGCCAGCGCCAGGATCGCAGCCAGACCCTGGTGCTGTGCCTGCTCCAGCACGTGCGCAAGGTGCACCGCACCACCAACCTCATCTGCTGGCAGCTGGCCCAACTAGGGAACTTCCTGGAGAATGACGCGCTGCTCCTAGGTGCACGGCAAGAGGATGCCCCTGCGCAGCAAGAGGAGGCCGAGGCCACCCCGGAAAGCAGCACTGGGGCTGATGGGTGGGGGGTCCAGGACCAGAGTACCTTGTAAATTGAGGGATAAATAAACACGAGCCCTGAACTGGCTTGCTCCCGCCATCTCTGTGCTTGCAGCCCTCCGCCTCTGCAGGCACTACTCCCTTCACCCTGCAGGGACACTTCGGCCTCTCTCCCTCCACCTCTCCCAAGTTCTTTGCCACCACTGGGTTTTAACACTGGCTCTTTTCCCTGCCCAAAAGCTCTATCACTCACTCTCCTTTGCCTGGCTACTTTCCACTCAAATTAATGTCTCACAAGGGTTTTTCCCAGTCTTCTTTCCAGTTACTTTCTAGCAATTTGCTTACCAGCTTCATAGCCATTGGCACAAACAGCTCAAATTCCTGAGCTGAGTAAAAGCCCCCTCATCACAATGACTCACAGTGAATCCCCATTATCTCTGACCTCCTCCCCTTATAAATCTCCCTGCTCACTCCCTGAAGCTACCTGGGCTTCAATTGCTCCTCCTAACGCCAGCCCTGTGCAGAGGCTGTTCCTTAGCCGGAAGCACTGTTCTAGATAACCACAGGGCTCCCTGCTCCACCCACTTCAGGGTTCTGCTCAGGGGTCACCTTCTCCATGAAGCCTCCTCCACAACCCCATGTACAACTGCACTCCCTGCCCTGGCTGGGTATCTCAGCTGGTTAGTGTCATCTGAAATATGCTAAGGTTGCGGGTTCGATTCCTAGTCAAGGCAGATAGAAAGATGACGTATTATAGAAGAAACCTATATAATTATCCAGTAAAACTTTATTATCCAACGTCACACCAATACCTTCAATAAAAAATAAAATAGCCGAAACCGGTTTGGCTCGGTGGATGAAGGAGCGTCCGGCTGGGGACTGAAGGGTCCCGGGTTCGATTCCGGTCAGGGGCATGTACCTGGGTTGCGGGCACATCCCCAGTGGCAGATGTGCAGGAGGCAGCTGATCGATGTTTCTGACTCTATCTCTCTCCCTTTCTCTCTGTAAAAAAATCAGCAAAATATATTTTTTTAAAAGTACATTTAAAAAAAATAAAGTAAATAAAATAAAATAGCCCTCACTGGTTGGCTCAGTGGATAGAGCGGCGGACTGAAGGGTCCCAGGTTCGATTCCAGCCAAGGGCATGTACCTTGGTTGTGGGCACATCCCCGGTGGGGGGTGTGCAGGAGGCAGCTGCTCGATGTTTCTCTGTCATCAATGTTTCTGACTCTCTATGCCTCTCCCTTCCTCTCTGTCAAAATAAGATATATTTTTTTAAAAAATAAATAAAATAGAATAAAATGCCAGCTACCTAGTGAACGCAGTCTGTGCCATCCCACCGGCCCCAGCCGGAATACAACCCAACCTCCAGGCCGGAAACGCCTCTGCCAGCTTCCGCTTCCTGACGCTGCAGCCACTGCCACCGGCGCGGATCGCACGGTCGTAATGACGTCACAGTAGAGACGCGCGGTGACGCCAGTGAAGCGCGCCGGCAGGACGGAGAGGCGCTCGGGTCTCCCCCACGCGGCGGCGGCGGCTGCGGCGGCAGCGACATGGAGGAGCCTGCGGCCGGACTGAGCCGCTTCAAGGCCAAGTGAGCGGGTCACGGGCTGTGGGCGCCGCCGGGGAGGGAGCCGGGGTCGCGGCCGGAGTAGCGCAGGCGCCCGCCGCGGGTCTGATGTGCATTCGGGTGGGGAGGCGATGGGGACTGTGGACGGACCGGTCCGCGGGGGCGTGGAGGCTGTAGCCATAGTGTAAGGTGGGAGAGCCAGCAATGGCTGCTCGCGGGGAGGGGGCCTGGGCCCGGGCAGGTTATTAAATTAGGAGCCCGTTTGGGAGGGGACGAGAGGTCCTAGAGAAGGAGGAGGGGGCGGACTGAACACAAAGGGAGGCTGGTCCTGGATGGGAGCGGACCTCTGACACCCGCGGGTAGCGGAGAACCGCCACCTTTGGGTCAGGCGGCTGGGGCTCTCACCTGCTGTCCCTCTCCTCCAGGGAGCAGGAGGGCAGGTCAGGAGATGGGCCGTCAGCAGTGGCCTAGAAGCCCCGAGTCCCGTGCTTTTTCCCAAGCCTCTGCTGAACATCTCAATGCTCAGTGTCCGGAAAGGGACAGGCTCCGCCGCGCCCTTTGGAGCGCAGTTTGATGGGATAAGGGTTTCAGGCAAATCATTGTCCTCAGTGGCTGTGACAGGCACTAGCAGAAGAAGCCCGAGTGGATGGTCTACGGGTTGGGGGTTGGAGGCTTTGTTTCATCTTGGCAATAGGCTTACCCCAGTGGATTAGTCAGGGGCCATTGAAAACTGGCAAGAGAGGTCCAGGCCACCCACAGGGAACAGCCTGGTCGAAACAGGAAAGGTTAGCAGTGGCCCCTTTGGGCAGTGTCTTGGAAACATGTGAGGAGAGGAGTGGATTTTAAGGCAGAGTTGTGTTCTAATTGGCCCTTTTGGCAGCAGGGTTTGAGAGAGTGGGTGGGCGGCTGGTGAAGAGGCTGCAGCATCTCTCCAGAGGGAGCGGTGTAGTGACCTGGACCAGCATGGAGGCAGCCGAGCAGGATGGAATAGGACTACTTGGGGACTGAGATGCAGGCCAGGCTGGGGAAGGAGGAAGGGTTGGGGAAGGCTTCAGGCTGGACCTCAGGGATGGTGTTGAGTGTGTTACCATGGGCCGGTACTCAGGCCTGGCCTCCCATGGCCAGCAGGGGGCCCCCAAGGCCTGGCCTGATCTGCACTGGGGAGTCTCTGGGAAGACTGGACTGTTTGGACAGCATATGCTGTTGTGGGACCCTCTGTGGATCAGCAACCCAGCTCGGGGTCTCAAAATAATCTGTAACAGGGGGGATACCAAACACCCAGCTCACAACAGTGAAAAAGAACTCATCACCACCAGTACCCCATCCCCTACTGCTGTCCAGGGGCTGTCACAAGGACCTATTGGATTGGACCTCTGGGAGTGCACCCAGCACAGGGCTTGGCACTAGGGACCAAGGGGTGGGGGATTCACTCACTCTCTTTCTCTGTCCACCCTCCAGCTATGCTGTCGAGCGCAAGATCGAGCCTTTCTACAAGGGCGGGAAGGTGCAGGTACCAGCTGGGGGTTTTAGGTGGAGAGGGGGGCAGAGTGGTGGGGCAGGCAGGGATTGCAGGGTGTTATCTTGACTGAGACCCCCTCTGTCCCCAGCTGGACCAGACTGGGCAGTACCTCTTCTGTGTCTGTGGTACCAAAGTCAACATCCTGGAAGTGGCCTCAGGGGCCATCCTGCAGAGCCTGGAGCAGGTGAGGGCAGGGAGAGCCAGGGTTAGGGACTGGTGTGGAAAATAAGCCTATTCTCATAGCATTCTGTGCGCCCACTCTTGCCCCTAGGAGGACCAGGAGGACATTACTGCCTTTGATCTCAGCCCTGATGATGAGGTATGTGGGGCAGGGACAGGAGGTGGGTTCTAGTACTTGAGTCCATGAGGATGGGTGGCCTTGCCTCTACCCTCCACCCCCCACCCCCCAGGTAAACTACATCCTCCCCTAGGTGCTAGTGACAGCCAGTCGGGCACTGCTGCTGGCTCATTGGGCCTGGCGAGAGGGCAGTGTCATCCGCCTGTGGAAAGCGATCCACACAGCCCCTGTGGCCACCATGGCCTTCGATCCCACCTCCACACTGCTGGCCACAGGTAGGGCCCCAGCAGGTGGATGGGCCGGCTGGCGGGCACGGGGCTTGGGGCACACCAGCCCCCTCACCTCAAACACATTTCCACAGGCGGCTGTGATGGGGCTGTGCGTATCTGGGACATTGTGCGGCACTATGGGACACACCACTTCCGGGGCTCGCCAGGTGTCGTGCAGTGAGTAGGGACAGCAGAGCCTGGGTGAGTGGGGCATCACGCTGGGAGGGCACCGCTCACCTGCCGCACCTACCTACCTGCAGTTTGGTGGCCTTCCACCCGGACCCCGCACGCCTGCTGCTCTTCTCCTCAGCCACAGACGCCGCCATCCGCGTATGGTCGCTACAGGACCAGTCGTGCCTGGCTGTACTGACTGCCCACTACAGCGCTGTCACCTCACTCACCTTTAGTGCTGATGGCCACACCATGGTCAGGTCAGTAACCAGCTACCCAGGTCTTAGCAGGCGGGGAGGGCCATGGCTGAGATCTGGGAACTGAGGTGGCTGTTTCCCCAGCTCGGGCCGGGACAAGATCTGCATTGTCTGGGACCTGCGGAGCCACCAGGCCCTGAGGACCATCCCTGTGTTTGAGGTGGGGCAGCCGGGGGGTCAGGGCCAGTGAGTGGGTTAGGGCTGGGAGTGGGGCTGCCACCTCTGACCTGCTCCTCCGCAGAGTGTGGAGGCCGCCGTGCTGTTGCCAGAGGAGCTGGCACCCCAGCTGGGTGTGAAGTCCACGGGCCTGCACTTCCTGACAGCTGGCAACCAAGGTGTGTGGGGCCAGGCCAGGGCGGGCAGCAGGGACTGGGGGTGGCCCACGGACCTGTGAGTCCCAGCAGCCTCTGTCCCCGCATAGGTGTGCTGCGCGTGTGGGAGGCGGCCTCGGGGCAATGTGTCCACACACAGCAGCCGTTGTCAGGCCCTGGGCGGGAGCTGACCCACTGCGCCCTGGTCCGAGCTGCTGGCCTGCTCCTCAGTGTCACTGCTGACCACAACCTCCTGCTCTATGAAGCACATTCTCTGAAGCTGCAGAAACAAGTGAGCACTGCCCCCTGGTCAACCCTCGGTCTGGGGATGTAGGCCCTCTTCTCACGTGAGCCCTGGCTTGTGTCCCTCCACCCTGCAGTTTGCCGGCTACAGCGAGGAGGTGTTGGATGTCCGGTTCCTTGGGCCTGAGGACTCCCACATTGTCGTGGCCTCCAATAGCCCCTGCCTGAAAGTATTTGAGCTACAGACATCCGCCTGCCAGATTCTCCATGGCCACACAGGTGAGGGTGCCAGGCTGACGCTCCTGGGACCCTTTCCCTTAATTGATCTCTGACCGTTCTCCTTCCACTTTTCTTTCAGATATTGTCCTTGCCCTGGATGTGTTTCGGAAGGGGTGGCTCTTTGCCAGCTGTGCCAAGGTGAGGTACCCCAAGAGGTGTGGAGGTACAGGTCCCCAGTGGGAAAGTCTGGCCCAGCCTCTGTCCTCACCCCTCCCGTCCCCAGGACCAGAGCATTCGCATCTGGAGGATGAACAAGGCTGGCGAAGTGACCTGTGTGGCTCAAGGCTCTGGGCACACACACAGCGTGGGCACCATCTGCTGCTCTAGGTAGTGGGCCAGGGCTGGGGTGCAGAGTGTCACAGACGTGGAGACCTAGGCCCTGCTGATGGAGTCCCAGCTCAGGGAGACGGAGAGGAGAAAGTGGTGCCTTTGACCTTGCTCTTTGAAGCTTCAACCTAGGGATCTAGAGTAATGAACAAAGCACCCCAGGTGCCATTGTTGGATGAGGGGTTCCTAGGAAGTGGCCTTGGAGCTGGGTGGATGAAAGGGGTAGGATGTTGGCGCAGAGAGAATGACACTGAACAAGTCCAGGTTGAGAAGGCGCTTCCTGCATTTAGGGTTGGGGTCCCATTATTGGGACAAAGTCACCTGCGGTGGCAGCACCAAGAGTAGGCAGTGTGGGCTTGAAGTGCAGACAAGTGGTCCCAGAGATGTGTTTGGGTAACGCAAGCCATCTGCCTTTTGCAGGCAGGCCTGGCAAAGGCTCATCGGGTGTCTTTCCCTGCCCCCCAATTGGGCTTTAGGCTGAAGGAGACCTTCTTGGTGACGGGCAGCCAGGACTGCACTGTGAAGCTGTGGCCCATCCCCAAAGTCCTGCTGTCCAAGAGCATAGCCCCAGACAGTGGCCCTGTTCTCCTACAGGCCCAGGCGACACAACGCTGCCACGACAAGGTGAGCATACGGGTGGCAGTGTGGCAGGGCCCTCACTGGGATAGGGGTATCTGAGCTGCTACCTGTTGCCATCACTAGGACATCAACAGTGTAGCTGTTGCTCCCAATGACAAGCTGCTGGCCACAGGCTCACAGGACCGCACAGCCAAGCTCTGGGCCCTGCCACAGTGCCAACTGCTGGGTGTCTTCTCAGGCCACCGGCGTGGCCTCTGGTGTGTCCAGTTCTCACCTATGGACCAGGTGCTGGCCACTGCCTCAGCTGATGGCACTGTCAAGCTCTGGGCATTGCAGGACTTCAGCTGCCTTAAGGTAAGCTGCCCCACCCCAGGCCCGGCCCCCACCCCAGTCCTGGTCCCTACCTGATCCTGTCTCATACCCTCCCTGTCCCAACCCTGCAGACTTTCGAGGGGCATGATGCTTCTGTGTTGAAGGTGGCCTTTGTGAGCCGTGGTACACAGCTGCTGTCCAGGTGACTGGGCTGGGGACGGGGCAGGGGTTGTGGTGAGCTGGGAGCAGGTCCCAGTGCTGAGCCCCCTCCCAATCCCAAACCCAGCGGCTCTGATGGGCTCGTGAAGCTCTGGACCATCAAGAACAATGAGTGCGTGAGGACGCTGGACGCCCACCAGGACAAGGTCTGGGGGCTTCACTGCAGCCAGCTGGACGACCGTGCTCTTACTGGCGCCAGTGACTCCTGTGTCATCCTCTGGAAGGTGTGTGGGCATTGGTGCAGTGGGTGAAGAGTGGGCAGGGCAGCCTGAGGTTCCACTCTGACCCCAGTCTGACCCCAGGATGTTACCGAGATGGAGCAGGCAGAGGAGCTGGCCAAGCGGGAGGAGCAGGTGGTCAAGTAAGTCTGAGGGTCCCACCCAGCCTCCTTGTGAGTGCCACCCATATGGCTGCGCCTCCCATGCGTCAGCATCACCCTCCCCTCGGGGTAGGGTATGTTAGCATCACCCCTGCTTTGCGACATGGGGAAACTGAGGCTCGGAGCACTGACACAGGTCACCATCAGTGAGTGCTCAGGCCTGGTCTGCTGACTCCTAGGCCAGCCCCCTGATGGCTCTGCCTTCAGCCCCAGCCCTAGCCCTGTGGCCCTGTCCTCCCTCCTTCCCCCGCCAGGCAGCAAGAATTGGACAACCTGCTCCAGGAGAAGCGGTACCTGCGGGCGCTGGGCCTGGCCATCTCCCTGGACCGGCCCCATACTGTGCTGACGGTTATCCAGGGTCAGTGCTGCCTCAGGGGTGGAGGGGGAAGGAGGGCCCTCAGGCCTGTCCTGCTCCTTCCCTGGGGCTTATCTTCCTCCTCCCGCAGCCATCCGGAGGGACCCTGAGGCCTTCGAGAAACTGGAAGCCACCGTGCTCCGACTTCGGCGAGACCAGAAAGGTTCGGGGCAGGAGGGTAGGGGCTGGACAATGCCTGATAGGAGTGGGGTGGCCAGCAGGCAGGTCTGACCGTCCTGTCACCCGCAGAGGCCTTGATGCGCTTCTGTGTCACGTGGAACACCAACTCGCGGCATTGCCACGAAGCCCAGGCCGTGCTGAGTGTGCTCCTGCGGCACGAGGCCCCGGAAGAGCTGCTGACCTACGAAGGTGTGCGGGCCTCGCTCGAGGCCCTGCTGCCCTACACAGGTACATGGACACAGCCCTGGGTGGGGTAGGGAGTAGCCTGGCCGGGCTCCGTGGACCCCCCGCCCCTGACATCCTCTGTCACCCCCAGAGCGGCACTTCCAGCGGCTCAGTCGGACCCTGCAGGCAGCCACCTTCCTAGACTTCTTGTGGCACAACATGAAGCTGCCCACCCTCCCTGCCCCCTCTGCCCTCTGAAACACCAGAAGGTTTTTTGTTTGTTTGTTTTTTATTTTTGTTTTTTGTTGAAACACCAGAGTTTTTATCCCAGTTCCCTCTGTCGGTTTGGTTTTGTCTCACCCCAGGTCCCAGGCTACAACCTTGGCCAAACACCGCCCCTGTGCCTTGGCCTGTGCAATCCAACAGGCCCTGCCCCTCAGCGTGGACACTGAGTGTGGGTTAATCAGATCTTCACTCAGAGGAAATGGGAGAGTGTAGCTTCCTGGCCCTGCCAGCCAGAGAGTCCCACCCTCCCCCTGCCCTGGGGGCGGTGTGGCTGCCATCAGTCTTCCCCGGGGTCTGGAGCCTCTGGCCGGGCCGCTCCAGCTGTGGGGTACACAGCACTCTCCATGCGGTTCCACACACCCTCAAGGATGTCCCTGACTCCGGGGGTCCCTCCCCAGTGCCCTACGGGTGATGGTGCAGCAGCGGTTCTGAATGGCACTCAGCAGGGGGCGGGCTGGCACAGTAGGAGGAAGTGTCATGACCTGGGGGGACTTGGGGGAGCTTTGGGCCTCCCCCGCCCTGTTCTCGCCACCCTCTGCCCCAGAAGGGAGCCCCGGTCCATTCAGGAGCGTGCCGAGCCCATCTGCCTGCAGTAACACAGAGGGGAGAAGGCCTGTGCGGCCACCGAACCTGCAAGGAGGGCAGAGTTTGGTCAGCACTTGGCCCTGCCCTCCCAGCCCAGTTGGACTCTGTCCCCCTCCCCCCACCAAAGCCCCACCTGCACAGCCACCAGCCGCGGTCCGACATTTCCAGCACGCGCACTCTTGCCCCCGCAGGCACTGACAGCTCGTCGGCCCGGCTGCCTTCGTAGGCTTGGGAAGCACAGAACTGGGAGCCTGGGAGTGGGCACTCGGTGGTTACCACAGGGCTTCCATCTCCTTCCCCTCATCGATCTCTCACTGAATCCCCCTTCCAGGCTCTCCCTCTCTGTGTCTCTGCTAATGCCAGGGACCATTCCAAAACAAAACCCCTGGGGCTCAAGCCCACTATGGGGCCCGAGTACCTGCTAGGGGACTGCTGCCACCACCTAGTCTTTCCACGGCATCTCACCCTTAGGTCAGGTGCTTTCTGTCCCCCAGCCTTGCTGCTCACTGCCCAGCAGTGGTGGGGGGCATGGGGAGGGGATGAGTCTCATTACCACTACTCCTTAAGGGCTGCCTCCCATCTTGTCCTTGGCCCAGGGCCACCTCCTCCAAGTAGGGAGCAGGAAACCATGCTGTCTGCTGGTCTTCATTAGCCACCAGCCACCAACCTGTACACAGAAGGTGGGCAGGGGTTCAGGTCCCCCGCATGCTGGGATCCTGGCTGCAGCAGGTCAAGCCCCCAGACTCCTGCCCAGCCCCACCTGAGGGGTGTCGCAGCAGCACATCTAGGGCCTCCTGGGCCTGCGCATGGAAGGGTTGGCCCCGTGTATCCTGGGTACTGAAGGGCTGCAGACAGTGCAGGCGCAGAGCCTCCAGGCTGCCTATGGCAAGACTGCCCACAGGGCGAGGTGGGGGCTCTTCCAGGACGGGCAGGATCACCAGGCTGGAAAGGGTGGTCGCAAGAGAGGGGTGTGGGGATGGGCTGCCACGCTTCACCCGGCCTTGTACTGCCTGGGCCCTTTCCCCACCACTCGGCCCCCACCGCCCAAATGCTTCCCTCAGGGAGTTAGGGGCGGGTCAGGCACCTGCCAAGTGGTAGTGAAGGCTCCAGGTCCTGGAGCTGTGGCTCGAAGAAGGCGGTGAGCAACGGCCCCCTGGATACTTGCTCTGCCTCCAGCAGCGCCTGAGAATAGGCCTCCAGCAACTGCAGGCGCGCCAGGCCACGGCCTTTGCGCCCCCCACGCGCCAACAGTGATGTAGATGCGTCTATGGGCACCACAGGGGACAGACCATGGGACCCCACCCCAGGGCTCCCATCACCAGGTTGCTGCTCCTGCCCCTACCCCTACCCCTCCCAGAATCCCTGGTGCCTGACCTGGAAGTTTGGGGAGAACTCGGTCGGATCTCCGCAGCAGGCCTGCCTCCACCGGGAAGGTCTCCTTGAGGATCTTCTAAGGGAGAGAACCGGCATATCGGTCTTTGAGAGCCCACTGGGTTACCTTGGGAGGGTGGGGGGATCTCGCTGGAAGCCAACCCAGGGGTGAGGGCAGGCATGGTGGGGCTGTCACTCGGAGGAAGTCCCAGGTTCACTCACATGGAGCCTCTTAAACTCGTCCCAGCTCCTCCGCACCAAGGTGTTGCTGTCATCCGACCAGCACACAGAGAAGGCGAACATCTGTTGGGAGGAAAGGCTGGGGGCACCTGGGAGGGTCTGGACCCTGAACTTCCTCCCTCCTTCCCTCCCTAGTTCCTCCTAAGGTCCACAGGGACCAGCACTTACTTGGAGCTTCTCTATCTGCACCAGAGCTGCTGCACGGACTGACACTGGGTGCCGAGGGCCCACCATAGCTGTGGTCTCACGGGCCCAGGTCCTAGGCTTCTGGAGTCAGCAGCGTGTGGCAGAATAGCCCGCGGGCTCCCTAGCCGCACAGGGACTGGAGGTGCTTCTGGGCACCCGGAAAGACTGGTTGGAATTCCCCTGATGCCTCAGACCTGCCAGGGGCATTCCCGCACTGCCCTCCCCCTGTCCTTAGCTTCCTCATTGGGCCTCCAACCGAAAATCTGGATGGAGGAGGGGGAGCACAGAGGCGGTGGAGGGGCTGGGACTGCTGCCCTGGGAGGTGGAGAAGGCAGAGCCCATCAAAGTGCCGCTAGGCCTGGCCCACCCTCCCTGCTCTCCCAGTCCCGCATAATGCTGGGGTTGGCGAGAGCCTCCTGCAAGGGGTGCCCCCTGCATCGCTTTTGAACTTGCCTGGACAGCTAACACAGTTGTCATCAGGAACGGCTTAATCCTCACCTGGGAGGGAAGATTTCTTAATGTCCCCAAGTCACAAAGGAGGAAATCTGTATTAAGTGAATAATGTCAGTTTTTCCGTATGTGTTGGGGAGGGTCGGATCTCACAGGCTCACCCCAGAGGTTCCCCTCCCTGTGGTGGTCCATCCATCTCTACAGTCACTGGCACTTGGGGGGGGGGGGGGGGTGACTAGGATTGTTTTGAGAGTTGCCTCTAAATTTATAATTTATTACAAGTTACTGCAAACACAGCCTCTGAGATCAGGAGTGACCATTCCCCCACTGGGATGGTGAGAAGACCCTGTAGTCTCCCGAGGATGTGCCCAGGTACCCCACAATTCCGGGCTGCTTCCTTTCTTTCAGGGGAGATTTCTGGAGCTGCATCTAACCTTGGTGCACAGTGTTCCTCCTGCTGTTGAGGCCACCAGCTCTGTGTTGGGACCCCACCCCAAGCCCCTCAGGGAGGAGTCGGTGTCTAGGGCATCCCTCCAGGAAACCACGTGGCCTGGACAAAGGGCTTTTGTGTGTCCCTCCAGCGGCTCTCTCTGAAGCTTTCAAACCTTCGCTGGTCTTGGCCTGGACAGTGAACACCTGCTGCATGGGCCTGATTTTAGAATGCCTTTAGCCCAACTGTCTCACTCTCCCCGATCTCAGTGGGGGCTGTGCTGAGGGCGTCTGGCCTGGCAGCGTCAGGTAGGAACAGACCCTGCTCCCCTGGGAGACAAAGGACAGAGGCGAGGGAAGGGCCAGTTTACTAACAGCCAGGGACCTAGAAGGCTGCGGAGGCCCCCTCAACTAACCCACTGAGAGCCCCCTGCTTCCACACTCCCCACAACCCTGGATCCTTCCCACTCTTCCCCTCTCCATAGCCCCCACCCTTATCTCTCACCTGGGCAACTACAAGTCCCCCACCCCACCCCCCACCTAATGCCCATGTTCCTTACTTGCTCCCATGAAATTGACTCTCCAGAGAAATCTTTGCAAAACAGAAATGGGATCAGGTAGAGGTAGCCCTACCCAAAACTGTCCAGTACCTTCCCACAGCTCTCAGAATAGATTCCCAGTTCCCAAGGCAGCTGACAAGGTCCTTGGCGGGCCCTTGCCCACCTCTGGATTTCTCCCCAGGTCCTGTCCCCCCCGCCTTTCAGCCTATGCAAGGGGCTGAGACCTCCCACCTCCAGCCTTGTCCTTGACTGCCCCCTTCAGCTGATTCTGTATCTTTCAGGCCTCTGCATAAGGGTCACCTTCTCAAGGAGGCCACCTGCATTTACCACGCCCTGTTATGGCCCCCTCCGCACCATAGTTTGTAAGTGAACATTTATTAGTGTAACTCCCCCCCCCCTCCACCCCGCCCCCGTCTTGACCACTGGGACTAGGAGGTCAGGGTTGGGTCTGCTACCCGCGCTGCCATTAGTCACGAATATCAGCTGTATCATATTCTAGATAAAAATCTCGGAGAAGTGAAGACGTCAGGACAAGAACTTTATTATCTGATGGACCTGGGTAGGGGGCAGAAGGCTTTTGCGGGAGGCTCTGTGCTGAGAGAAAGTCCCAAGCTGCTGAGCTGAAGTAATGGATCATGTTCACTAAGCCCCGGAAATCTCCTCCCTTCAATTTTATATGGAAATGACTAAGGTAAAGACAGTTGGAAGGATAACAGGTTGATGGCCAACAGCATTTGGCATTGGAAGACCCAGGTTTTATCCCAGGTGTTGGAGGAGGTAATTCAAGAGTCAGCCTTCAGAGAATATTCAATTTCCCAAAATCTGCTAGAAGAAGGAGGTTCATTTATAAGGCATAAGGCTGATTTGTCCCACAGCAAAGTTAGCTAAAAAAGAAATGGCTCCTCTGTGATAAAGG